TCTGCTGTATCCGAGCCCTCTCGACCATCCTCAGGTACATCACCGACGAATTTATCGACTAACGACGCATCCCAACTTTTGAGTTTTTTCAACATCTTGGTAATGTACGGTTGCCGGTATCGCTTGTTTATGACAGCGCGTTGAAAATCCAACTGTTTGAAGGAGTCTACATGGATCGGAGATGGAAAGTTAGGATGGTAATAAGAGAACACGGTTTCTATACTAGTTACGAACCTTGATGAACTTCCAAGGCATTTTTAGCAGCATCCATCTCAGCACTCTGAACAGATCGTCCAACGCCTACAGCGAGGAGATCTTTCCTGAAATAAACGCCCACTGTGTGTTTGCGATCATTTGATGGTCCGGCACACTCCAAAACCTACAATATCAAACGCTACAATGTGGGTTGAATTAAATTTGCAGTGCGAATAGTGTGGTTCCCAAGGTATCACCTTGTAGTGGGCCAATTCAGGATCCTCATTAAGCGATCGGAAGGTAAGGCAACACTGCTGCAATTTGGACTTTGGATCATTCCATTCCTGTTTGAGAATAAACTCCACAAGACGAGGCCAAAAACAGACTTGGCAGAAGCGCTCGACCCAGGTTATGTCCTTATCCACGTACAAAGCACCAATAAAAGCTAACACAGGTTAAAAAAGAGAACAAAAAAATACATAAACTGCCTGCTAGTACGGGAACTGAACACATTGTGTTATGAACAAACCCTCAAGTAGGTCAGCCTTATTCTTCACATTCTGTTGTCTGCGTGCAGCAGAAGCTGATGTCTCTTCTGGAATGCTCGAAATAGTGAGAGAATTTTCCTCTCTACGAATGATGAACTGATCCAGACCGAGTTCGCCGCAAACCGTCGCTTGGGTATATTTATTCACCAGAGAGTTCTTGAGCAACGACAGGTGACCCTCATGATGTCGCGGAAAGTGGCGATACAGGTAGTCAGTGGTGACATACTTTAGCAAAGAATCACCGAGGAATTCAAGGCGTTGGTTGTCCCCTCTGCGAAATCCAAAATAAGTCTGATTGTCAAGACACAAGTTGTGAAGGGGAACGAATGTTGACAGTAAGGGAAACGGAAGTTTAGCTTCAAAATTACCGAATCGAGCCCAAACGAAGGCACGAAATTGCGTGACTTACAGGGTGTAGATATTAAATCCGGTTTTACGAACGGTCAGAGCACGAGCGAGGACACGTAAATGCTTAAACCGGATGCCCAATCGTTCTTCCAGATCAACTAATTTCTAGGCAAGGACAAATTAAAGCTACAAAACTTCACATAAAACTGAGCATTACGAAGGCAATGGAGATTATTAAAAAGCACAACTACTCAAACTGTAAGAAAGCCCTCATACAGATTATGAGAGACAAGAAGGAAAATAAGGAAATGAGTTGATCAAGCCCAACAGATGGTACTCAGAGATGCATCTGCACAAACGCATCTGCATCATGCGCAATCTGAAAGGCGGACTTTCATAGAATTTTCAAATTTGGACATTTGTGCGCGTCTATATGTGAAGTAGAGAGACGAAAGGGAACCAGTGCGATTCACCAAACTGGCGTTTAACGTTGAAGTGTGTCCAGTTAAACGTCAGAAGGCTGACCGCAGATGCTCCACGTGCAGGAGTGACAAGAGAAGAGAACGATAACTTACCACAAATTCACAGACACTCAACCACAGTGTGAAAATTTCGCAGTGAACAAAAAAGGGTAACAAAGGTTTAGCGAATAGTTCACGCAAAGCATGTGTTAGTAGCAACTACCGGGTGGCAAAAACCTCAATCCTATCAGCAATTTCAATTTATCAAATGAGATTTCAAATTGAGTGACAAAGAGAAGCCGTTAGGCTACAATGGATGAGATCAGTTAAGCGACAATTCATGCTTATGCGGAAAAAAATTTGACATAAGGACGAATATTGTGATTGACGAACAGAATGAAGTACAAGGAGATACGATCGGCACATCTAAAAACAATGATTCCGTCTCTGACATAGGAAAGGAAGCAAACTAACCTTAAACATAGGCACCTTAAGGACCCATTCTCTATCACCATCAGGGTGCCCTACTTGCAAAGGATGTGGCGGGATCCGAACCCAAACCCGATGGATACGTTCACAATCGCCAAAGAGAACAGCGCCAAATATACGGTCGACAACCTCCAAGCCGCCATCAAGAGCAAGAGCCGCTAGGAAGAGCAAAGGAAATAAGATGAAGCATTGGAAGAGAAGGGGGTAGACAGCGAAGAGAGGAAATAGCATCCTACCCATTACAGCCTCAAAGGCGTCCGAACGGGCGTAAATATAGGTCGAGTCGTGACAAAAGTCCACACTGTGAGTGTACAAGAGATGCTTATGTAGTCCAAGACGCTAAAATGGGAAAAGGCTTAAAATTAGAAATTAGATTAAGAGGTATCACTGCCATCAGCCCAATCAGACTGCCATAACCATACACTAAAGTGAAATGGAAAAAGTTTGAACACGCTTAACGGCTCTGCCTCTCCTCGACAGTTGGGATGCATAGCCAGTAAGAACCTGAGCCTGAAGAAGGAAAGGACACTAATCTGACCCGAGTGGCGACAATTCTGAGTCACTCAGGCATTGCTACTTCTGGGACTTGGGAAAAGGGGACAAGCTTACCAGTGCAAGATCAGCCAGATGTTGATTTTGTACCAGGGCCTGACGATACGCATCCAAGTTGCCTTCGGGCAGGTCGGGAAACATAAAAAAAAGGTGGATGCTGGAAAAGAAAACAAGTAAAGGTAGCACCACAAACCAATCAAACAACCACACTTAAGGTAGAAACTGAAAAATCTATCCATGCTAGATCTTCATAAGGAAAAATAAATTAGACACTTTTCTGACAAGTTTACTTGCCTAGCGATGATTTCGATAGCAGCGTCACCTAAGAACTCCAAGCGCTCGTTTCCATAAATTTTTGACCGCTCTTCATGTTGTTTCGGCATGAATGACATCACTTGGATCATTTTTGAGAGACCCTTTTTGCGCCATTTCTTGTATAACTGCAACTTGTCCCCATACTCAATCGTGCGAGGGCCACAGCTAGTCAAGGTATTTTGGAAATGATCTTGATTGGTTCCAAAATCGGTTCTGCGGTACGACGGATGAGTTAGTGCTTGCTATCAAAACACCATCAAAGGAAAAATAAGGAAAACAAAAAGGCCAAATAAAATGCAAGAAAATAAGAGCGGAAAGTTACGTGAAGGATAGATTTATCCTTGAATCGATAATTCAGGCGCGCCTCCAGCGACTTGAGTGACATGATACATCTGACATGAGTCACAAAAGAGGCCATGTTGAGAGCGAATTGCGCCACATCAGGTCGTATCCCAGTTCTGTAGAAGCCTTCGCAACTCAATTCCACTGTTATCTCACGTCGATGTACTCTAGAGAAAAAAGACCGCAGGATATTAATGTAATCCTGGACGACGTTCGACTAATAGATGCACCGCCTACCCAGAATGGTCCATGGAATCGAGCTTGCTGGTCAATCCAGCTAATTGATTCCGATCTTCAGCCGATATGCGAGGTTTATTTACCATAAGATATAGCAATTTCAGGTAATTTTTGAGAACGGATTTGTACTGTGGATCACGAGAAAGGCTTAGCTTCATCGGAGTAAACGTCATATGTACGAGCATAGGAAAATTAGACAGTGTGGGAGTGCCGGAGGAGAGAACTGAGGATGAGGGAGCCGAAGAATATGACGATAGGCGATCAAGTTGATCGATCCGAATCGCCGGAGGTTTCTAAAGTAAAGCAATGCATACAATGCAGCATTTAACTACCGAAAATCTTGTTACATCATTGTTCTGATCAAGCAAAGCAATGATCGAAAATGTTCAAGTGATAAGAGTCTTCCAAATCCGAGAAAAGTAGAGCCCATTAAACGGTAGCCCTTAAGCATATCATCCCTTCCAGTGAAAATACTGAACGTCTTAAAAACAAAATCCCAGAGTAATAATTTTTTGATGTGATATGGCTACCTTCAAAAGTAGAACGGAAAAGAACAGGAATTTCTGTTGACAGTTTTGAGCCATACCAGTATTGCAGACAAAGCCTGGTAGAAACACCAATGGTCGAAATGCCAACGTTCCATTTGTCTTGTGTTAAGCAAACAAAAAAGACAATGGCAAGACGTTATTCGTGACATTTGGAAGTTTTACAATGAATTCGCCATTCGATGATGGTCTACGCTTCTACACATGCCCGCTACCCTGGTATAAAAGGGACAAAACCAACTTTATAATAGACAATTTGCGCTTCAAAACCAGCAGAGACCATAACGAATGCAGATAACCTTTATCCAATTGCGCCATTATATCCATACGCATGTCCTACGCGTGACACGTACTGCGCTTTAGCTTAACCTCGAGAGAAATGGGCACTGCTTCATTATGTTATAGCTTCACTACTACTTTTAGCTGACTTTATTCCTTTGTAATGTGAAACGGTGCAGAAAGAAGCTATTGGAAATAGACGACAAACATGCATAACGCATTCACGTCGCCCGTTTTCGAAAATTCGAAAGAACTATTGCTAGCATCCACTTGCCTAACTACTCTGGCCTCTTTTATGTCACCTTAGCTCTTCTCTGTGTTCATAACTGAGTTATTTACGATTAGAATCCCAAGTTACGTCTTAAGATCCACAGACGATAACATCAATTTAACTCACAGCTCCTGGCTTCCATGCAAGTGTGCCCCTGAGGTCGTCAATGTGCGCGGACCACTCAGAATTTGGCATGCGCCTAATTATCGGTAAGTCGACGGCCTCTATCAGAGGTAGTTGGGTCTGACGCATCCAATAATCTAGAATGACGTTAGCAGAGAGCAGCTCTCCCGTGTTCCCCAGTCGTCGAACGAATCTTGGCAAGAGATGCACCACTGGACACCCTGTGTCAATACCATGGGGTCGCCAGTTCAGATCCAACAACTCCAGCAACTCCTTGAATACATACTCTGTGAGCATATCCAACGCACGCACGGTGAAGTTCTAGAGGATGCGAAAAATTAACCAACCCTTAGAATGTTTGAACGAAAAACTTTGCATTATAAAACTACAAACACACGTCAGGGAACTCCTCGGTTACATGAACGAACTCGTAGAGCAAATTGAAACGTAGAAGTTGACATGGAGGCAGCTAAAATAGGATGGCATGGCTTTTAATATCAATCAATGACTTGAGAAAGCATAGTCGCCCGGTCACTCACGTCATCAATGGGCGAGTGTAGAAAAATAGAATAGCCATCAAAAACATAATCGTTGCCGTTGAATGGGATGATCGTAGGTTTGTGGTTGAAAAAGTTAGTAGTTGGAGTAACCATCACACGATAGTGATACAAGCAGTCTCTGTTATTTGATTCCGGCCGGCAACTGGGTACTTCCTAAAAAAACAACTGATCGGCGTAACAGCACTCAGGAAGAGGTTCGGGCAATTAACTCGGAGAGCACAACTAATACCCACTGTTTCGCCTTCAAACTGATTATGCAGTGGACCAATTCGGTATTTCGGCTTGCAAGAACATGCCGGCCCACTGTTGTGCTCTCCAGGTTCATTATGCCAAATGCTAGGATGCAACCGATGAGGATGGGCCAGTTTGTGTGAAACCTCGACCTTTTGTTGTCCCAACTTATAATCAAGGGCGTGAGACTGGACAACCGATTGCTGAGTTGAGGTCACATTGCTCGATATCGCATTTAAAAGATGGTCAGGTGTTGCATTATCAGCCTAAAATAAAACGAAGCATTGAAAATAAAGGATTGAACACAAAAACGAGGATAGGTGAAGCTGTAAAACATACCTCCGTGAAGGAATCTAAAGAGTTACCCGACTTTTTAGCATTTAAACGTTTGCGAACGTTCTTCGACAATACGGGAAAACGATTGTCGTTATCGATGTCGAGGCTAGCCAACCTTTTCAGGGGGGGACGCACCACATCCACGGGTGGAAAACCAATCAAAGCCTTCTCTCGTCGTTTTAGAACGAAATTTTCGAAATCGTTTTCTAATTCAACCATAAGCTGAGTAGCAAACTTGCATTTGCCTCTTGTCTAAATTTTGAAGTAAAAGAAAGCAAAAAGTACCTCAAAGAATTCACTGGCGGGCGTGCACCTTACACTCAGAAAAACGAATTCTCCACGCCAGGAGCTGTCGTCGTTTCGGAAACTAGCAGAAAAAAAGTACCAATGCTACTACCTTAATGAAAGAACATAATTTGTTTTCGCCATTGTTGCTTTAAAAAAATATTGTGGAGAGAAGACAATTTGATCAGTGAAATATAAAAAATGTGAATGCAAAACAGCGTTCAGAACGAACCACGAAGCCCTTGCCTGCCTCGGTAAAGAGGAACCATTGGAATTCACAGCTAAGGAATTCAAAGGTGCTGACGGCGGTGGCAGTGGTCGAGGTGATAAAGGAGGCGCGAAGTATGGAGCACTTGGTGGAGGGGGTGGTGGGTATTGAAAGCGCAGAGATGGAAGATAGAAGTCAGGAGGAAACGGCGGAACCGTCGAGAAAGACAGAGGTGGTGGAGGAATAAGTGGAGTTAAGGGCTGATATTGATAACCTGAGGGAAGTGAAGACGAAGTCCATGTTGAAATGGAAGGATCACTGTTGGAAAATGAGGTACTGGAAGGTGTCGGTAACAGAGGTTCCTGGGCCTTTGCTGAGTCATTTGATGAGGAAAGTACATACACGGAGGCGCCATCTGGAAGACTGGCAAGCTCTTTCTCGGATATATAAATTACTTTCTTTTGTGGAGGGCCCTACAAATATATGAGAGCATTTAAGCGCAAAACTACTATAAAGTGCATGCCGCCTAATATCAATTCAAGTACAAAGAGCTCCTCACCATCCTGCCTCACCACACAGGATCCAAGATCCTAGCCAAAGGAAGGCACTAGCCAATCATAGTGCAGTTCAAACTTAAACAATAAATTAATAATATTTTAGATGTTAATACCTTTTACTGTTAGAATACATCAAAAAACAATTAGATTTACATCATCTTGATCAAACTTTTGTTCCTTGCTGCAATTTTTGTATAAGTAAAATCCTTTATTAAATGCAAAATGAATTATCCGTTTTCAAAAAAATGTGGTAAGCAGCTTTAAGATTTAAGACTAATAAAATTTTCAGTGCTATTCGTTAACAAATTTGCCAATAAAACCTGCGCGACCTTCCGAAAATTTGTAGTCCGTCCTTCTTGTCGGGCGTTTTGCGCATCCTTTGGGGTATGGACGATCGTTCTTCGTCGTCATTGAGAGCGATTTTATACGACCCAAATTCTAACAGCAATGTTGAAAACGTGTTGGATGTTGTTGCCGCCCTTGTCTGGGATTGCAATTTCCAGTCAGCCAAAAATTCCAGAGCTATCCAGTCATTTGTTCAAAGGTTTGTTTTTTTCAATAATGGTTGGTAAGACTTCGTCACATTTATTTTTAATGTCGTCGTCGAGTTAGTGAATGACCTTCTGCCTCTATTGCGATTTACTGTCCATAACCTCCGTTATTGGGACATTTTTATGCTTTATAAAAAGTTTTTCATGGCCTTGGTGTCGGAAAAGTGTATCTCCAAGCCAAGCAGATTATTCCTAATACATCATTGCTGACAGCCCTCATGCTTCGCTAACTATTTGTTGTGTCTGCATTTTTTGTTCGCATCTTTTACTTTTGAGCGTTGTGTGTGTTTTTTAGTTAAGATCCGCGATAAATGAGAACTTCATCTATTCTTTCTCAGGCTATATCGCATATCCTTTTTTAGGTTTTCAGAGCTAGCAAACTTTATATACTCCCAGAGAACAAAATTTACTGACTTTGAGCTGGTCAAAGTCATCGGTCAAGGGGGCTTTGGCCGTGTTCAGCTCGTTCGACACAAGGATACCCGTCGAGTGTACGCAATGAAGATGATGAGCAAGCAGCATCTTCTCGACCATTCGCAATCTGGTTATTGGGAAGAACGCGATATCATGGTAAAGGCGACCAGTGAATGGCTTGTTACTTGCCATCAGGCTTTTGTGGTATGTTTTTGTCATTCCATTCATGTAAGCTTACACATTTTCTTAATTGAAAAGGGTCATGCGTATGCTGATAAGCCCCTGTCTTTTGTCCACTGAACCTGGGATACTTGATCCAAAATATCCTTGCATTCCTAATACTTGTGTACAAATTGGTGTCGTAGAAACTTTGATCTTTTTTCTTTGCAAGTTAAAAAGGACTTTGGTCTGTGTGCGTTTGTACTCACGCGTTTCCTATCCTTCAGTACGTTTCAGATAACTATGCTAACAACCCCCGTTTTGCGCAGCTCAACTTGCGCTTGAGTTCCTTCTGTGACCTTACAGATATCAAGGTTTTGTTGACACGTCGCTACTTAGACTGGCATCAAAGATTGTCATCAGTGTCATTCATAATTTTCGTTCATCACGTCTCCTACTATCTTACTCTTCAATGTTGCAAGTAGATTTCGAGTGTGTATTCAATGCGTTCATGCATTGGTGATAGTGACTCGATTCTGAGTGCACACCTCGCTTTAAATGTCTGTTAGCTAATTTTTCCAGATCGTGCGGTAATACACGAATTGTTAGGTTGAATGTAGATTGATTTGGGTGGAAATGATTGAGGTTATGTGCGCGTACATTCCTTACTGTTGATACTTCTGATTATTTCTACTACTCTTGGGTTGAGGTAATCACACAAAATTTGATTCTCTTGGTTTATTTCAGGAGAAGTGTCAGTTCTCATGCTTTTGCTTTGATCCATTTGTGGTGATATTTCCAAATTAAGCCCTAGGTTAAAATATGTTTCATTTTCTCCAACATTGAGTGCAACTGTACAACCTCAAAGTGGAATTTTAATTATGACGCTGTTTCCCCACCACAACTGGATCCTTTTTCAATTCCTTCATTAGATTCCGTGCTACGTTTTAGTTTTGGATTTGGTGAAATAGAATGGGTCGAGTTTTGTTCTCTCTCAATTGCTTATGCTGCTGTGAAGAAATGAGGTGGAATGGATATTTGCTCACCTTAACTGATGTGCTGATCCCACGCCATAGGTTGGGCCTTAAATAACGCTTCGCAATTTTCTTTCGGCGAACCCCATGCATGCACTTCGGGATTGGTGTATAGGTGAGGCACTCTAGCGCGTAGTTCATGGCAAGTCTTAGAAGTCCTCGATATTTTGCCTCGTTCATCTGCCGCTGGTGAGAGATAGCACGAAATCATTTTAATACTTGTGATCTCTTCCGCTCTGTTCGTTTCCTTTTGTCAAACATAAGTTAGCTGAGAATTTCGTTTTTTTCGTTAAGAAAAAGCGTACGAAATTGAGTCATTTGCAAAAGAGGTGAGTGCGATGAAATTTGCACATCCAAATGTTTTCGGGTTGGGAAACGAATGAGTGGGCGGGCAAGTTCGTCAGCTGCAACTGAACGACTTGGATGCATGAGGATGTGACTGTCCTTCGAGCATTGAACTGCTCGCGCACACTTGCGCTTGCGCATCATTTGCATATTCACTCACATACACACACACACAATGGTATAATTCAACTTCTGTTCTACGAAAGTTTGTCATTACTGTCTTTGCTTATTCATTGTCGCCGTTAAAACTCCTTTCTAGATCACATGACACGTAAATCTCAGAAGACGGCTGTCAGCTGTTAGTTCACTTAACATTGACACAATGGGAGGTTCTTTCAGGTTTTACCTCCGACTTCTTTCTTATTGGAGCATGAATATTGGCTTGTAATCGCCATAAAGTGGTTCATTTGAGTTCTACTCCCTCCTGCCGGTAAACTTGGAAGCAATTCTATTGTTATTATTTGTTATTACGGCACTGTTGTGGCCACTGTGATTAATAATAACCCTTGAGCTTTACAGTGCATTGTGCTGGCAGTTATGAAGTAAATGTCTTCCTTTGGCTTGGAAATTTCCGAGGATTATTTGTTTTACGATTATAGGCACTTTCTCTTAGCCGTCTTACTGCTTTGAGCTCCTCTCTTTTGTGTTACCACGGCTTGAATACATCTAGCCTTTTCTCCCTTTCTCCCTCTCCTTCCAGCCTATGCCTTCTCCATGATCTCTTGTTTGTTACTCATGTTTGGACAATAGGAAATCGATCCAAAATGTGACCATTCTTTAAGCATCACACAACAGTTTGTTTATCTTACTGTTCAGAATGGTGATTATGCCCTCTGTGTGAATTATTTTTAGTGTGTTTTGACTCTGGCTCTCTTCCGCTCTTCGCTTGCTGTGCATGTGCATGTGCACATGTAAAGTGATTCGATAACAGGGACGACTGGCCTTGTGGGACGGAGAATCGTTGGTGTGATGTGGGGAGAGAAGAAACCTGTGTCTTGTTGCATTCAATCTTTGTCCACTTCCAACTGCTTGCTTTTTTGGTCGCCTCAAGTTAGACCGGTTGCCAGTAACTGAGATGCTGCTTTCTTCCCAACCGGGTGCACTCAAAGGTGTTTAAAATTTTGTGGCACATGGAAGGTGGCTGTGCATGAATTCTGAAAGGAAAATGGCGCTATCATTGATGTTGCTTCTGAAAATATGCGGTTCGCAGTGCTAGTATTGTATTTCCCTCTAGTTATGTAAGATGAGAATGAGAACACTTGTGCGATTTTCAAGTTCTATGTGAAAATTTCGGCTACTCAAAGGCAATTTGAATTAACCTCCCTGTGCGCACTACTAAAGCTTGCGGGCCAATTCCTTCTACCTTTGTACCGCTTAAAGCGCAGCTCCAAAGGTGTTTAGCTGTTCCATAGGCTTTTCTTCTTTTACCAGACTGTGACAACTCAAGCTCTTTCTGTGGATTTACGCAACGAGTGGTGCACACGACGGGCTAAAAGTAATTTAGCACTGGAAAACAAGATTAACTCATATCTGCCTTATTACTACGAGAGTGAAGTTTTAATTACCACTTGTATTTGAATTTTGCACCATTTTTGGCTCGATGTGTAGATGTGGCAAGCAGTTGTTCTCGGTAATGTGTTAACTATGCCATCGAATCTACCATTCAGAGTAAGCGTGGAAGCATACCTCTTGCCTCCTATCAAAGATAATGGGATAAGGTGTTTAATTTCGTGTTGAATAATTTTAATCCCCAAGCAGTTTTGATCTGCAGTCCTCCGTACTTGGCGGTCCAGTGATTCGACGCACTTTGGTGCGTCCTTGAACTAGTGTCTGTGGAACGGGACTATCGTTTCTGCACTCTCCTCCTTCACCCCTCAGGCACTTCAATTCCTGCTTTCGGAGCAAGGTGTGATATGGGCACTGCCTGGTTTGAAACTTTGGGAATGATTTATTCACACTCGCTGTCATTATTTGTTTCTCATTAACTACAACTGTCGATATCTCTCTTATCTGATCTTGCTTTCGCTTCGATGATTCAAATGTCATTCTCACCCTTATAAAACCCTTTTACCTGATATTATAATGAATTCTGCAGGGGTAAACAACCTGCTCTTGCACAGTGAGTCGTAAGGCAAGCACATTTTTCATATGCTGCACGCATGCGTATGAGCATGTTCCAGCAGGGCTCTACGACTGTCTCGTTCTCCGCAGTTGTGTGTTGCATTGTTTGCAGGTTTTCTGACCTACACACATACACACACAAATTCACCATTTTAAAGTGGTAGACGTTGAGATACCTTCACCAGAGTGGATTTAGAAGTGATGCTGTAGAAGTGGACATTTCATGCATAATTTGGGGTCTCTCCTAAGCATGTAATTAATAAGCAAATGAACCATCCTGCTTAGCGTCTTTGTCTAGACATGTCTGTTGTGCAATCTATGATCCTTGTTGTTAATTGACCGCTAACTCTGTGTGGAGCGCATACTTTCAGGTCCTCATTTAAGGCAAGACGTTGATCCACTCATGGGAAAATATGTGGGCTGCTAGTTTACCCCTTTCCTGTTTTTATTGGTCGTGGTAATGTCAGACTACGGATGTTTTGTACGACATGGAGTAAAGCAAAGCATTACCTTCGCTACATTCGATGTAACTTCTCTGTCTCAGCGCAAATATCTGCGAATAGGCCGAATTTATTCCTCCACTTCCATTTTGTCTGCTATGCAGGCTTTTGTGTCGCTACTGCCTTGCATAATTTCGGCGCGAACGAGCGAGGTGTTTGATCTGGCTCTGTGTAAATAGCTGACTTATTTGCGCCCATTAAACGGGCGTTTGTAGCAAATGTCTTGCCTTTTGGAATAAACGGACTGCAGGTAAAACTATTTTCACGCCACATTGTTGATGTATCCAATTTCTGGGGTGTTTTGAATCATTCTCACTGCTTTCCTCTGAGCAATTTGTTTTAAGATGCCTTATTTCATATAAGCATGATAGGTTTTTCCTCAAGTAAACAAATGGTGCATGGGCGGGGGTGAGAGAGCAAAATTACGACAGTAGAGCTTGCATGTCACTTTGTTGTCTCTAATGACAGCAGCGATAGCTCTTAGGACTCTGGCATAATCCTCGTTTTTTCACGTTTCTCCATTAAAAAGCGGTGATGCAAGAGGTGCGCATGTGTCTGCCCTAGCACTGTAGTAAAATCTATTTTTGATTCCTCTCCTCCTGCCGTCCTGTCACGATTTCCATATAATTTGTCCTCCCAATGGCTACTCACCTAACGTAGATTTTCAGCCTCACTTTCCTAATTCTAACAGGGATGATTGGATGATGGATAAATTTTCTTCTCTTATTTATGATTCCTTATTCTGGGCTTCACAGTTGAAAATTTGCTTCACATTGTGTGTTTATTAGCTCCTAGATTTGCTTTCCCATCCAAAACGCCACTCACCTAGTGGTTGCGGTCTAGTGGCTACCAGAAATGTCGAGGTTTCATTCTTTGATGGTGGTGCAAAGCAAGGGGACTCTTTAAGTAGAATGGACTTATTGGATCCATTTGAATGAGTACTTGTTACTCACTCACTTCGCATCATCAGTTTTACTTCCTTTTTATCCATTCTTTAAGTCCCCATTGTGCTGTTAGTCGCCTTTGTTTTGACAGTGTGGAAATCCCTTAAATAAGCTGGTGGTATGGTTGTTTGCCTTTTGGACCACTAGCTAACAACGCAAAATGGACACCACTACTAGGCATTAGTTGGGGTTGGCGTGTTTATGTGTTTGTCCGTGAGGTAATTTAGGCGACTCTGTTCCACCCTTGAACAAGACGATGGTGCGGCTAGGCTTACTTTGTCTGTGAACTCGACAAACGCATGTTCTTTGTAGATATTGCGTAGCCAAGTTGGCATTGTATCATTGTATCTTCCGAATCGCGCATCTCATCCTACCATTAGCTGGTTGTCCGAAGTTTTACTTAGTTGCCCCCGTTCATCTCATTTTCCAAATGCTAAATCCCTTCCTTGGGAATCCCATACTTCTCAGGTGGTAGGAACATCTTTTTCCTCGGCTGTTCATTTAACACAATCTTAAATTTCTTTTTTCTACCCTTTTTCTTTGCTTTTAAGTAGCCTAGTGATTTAAAAGTCACTGACTTGCTTCTCCTTTCTCCATAGTTGAATCGTTTTGGGGGTTTTCAATCTTTCAGGGTTGACAAGTGACTGCTGTTAGGGATAGGATTTGAAAATCGGCTCTGTGCTGCTATTCGCCTTAATCAGCATTGCAAACAAGTTTATACTTGTAGATTCAATTCTTTACCTTTTTTCTCGGGCATTTGCATATTTCTCGTGGAGAGAAATTGCATTTTTCATTTCTTTTTTCCCCTTCCGTGCCAAGCGTATGTGTGCGTGTGTGTGAAATTGCACATAATCAAGGCATCAAAATGGCAAGGGGACTTATTTATTTCTTACCCCTTGTCAGGTCTAATGGTAAATCTCCAGACATTTCTCACTATCAATCGATCCAGCCACCTTTTGTACAACCATAGAAACGCAATTTGAGTGGATCTTTTTGTGAATTATTTCGTCTTGGCATTGGGAGCTTTCCTCAACTTATGAGGGTCGAATTAGGCGCTTCGTCTTGGGGATTACATGTCCTTTCTCTACTCCACTCAACCTTTATTCCACCTAGAAGCGATCGTTTGGTGCAAAAGCTTGGCTTGCGTGATGAATCATTCGTTTCACCGATTTTCGTGGCTATTGTGATATGTTATTGAGCAGCTGTTGTGAAAAAAAAAACTTGTCTTTATAAGAGCACTGAAGCCAAGATCCTGTCATTAAACCAGTATTTGAAGTTTTAATGCTAATCTTGCTCTCCATCTATCATTTCCTGAGTCGTGCTATCATGGGCTGTCAGTGTTGCAAACAAGTGACACCTGCTAACCACGCATAATCACTAATTCAAGCCTTGTTTTGTGAAAATGCCAAAGTGTCAACAGCACTATACGCCACCGTCCTTCTTAACTGTCTTAATGGGAAATGCCTGGCCAAAGTCACATTTTTCAGTCTACCGACAGGGGGTGGTCCCGGCATTCTTGACTTGGTGGCAGTGCTTACATTGCAATGGTTGCACATACTGGTTGGCCGTTTTTTTTTTATTTCTCTATTCATGAATTCATTTAGTCCCCAGCTTGAGTCGAGAATTAGAGGCAAATGCAGGACTGCTGTATTGATGTCCATGGAGCCTCCTTTTGCGTATTCGCGTATAACATTGGGTTCTGGTCTCACGTTCATGCAAAATTCTGACTGAAAAAAAATAGTTTTCTCCAAAGTGACAGTCTTTCTGTTTAGATTGCTTTTGTGCATGCGGTAGTAGCTATTTGGTGCCTTGTGGCATTATTTTTGAAGTAGCCTCAAGATATTAGTGTCCCGCGGTTCATTATATGCATGAATTTCAACCGTGGTGATAATTCATTCATTGTGCTCATCATTTTCACGTACTGAACTGTGATGTTTATCACCTAAATGTCATTTTAACTTCTGTTCAAATACCCTACTTTATGTACATTGGTCCGACGTTTCAACTTCTGTGCTGCGCTTTTGTTTGTGAACAAGTGTAATTGGTGGACCAGGCAGAAAGAGGTGCCATCCATGGCTGTTTGGACCGCCCATCCTTTGTGATTGGGTGCCAAAATGCTTCAGCATCTTAATTAGGGGCGAATTCGATTGAATTATCTGAGGGTTTGGTGACTGAATTGTGTGTAAGAGTTTGCACTATTGGTAAATTTATCTGCCTGTTGCATCTTTTTATTTTTTCAAAATAAGGTTTTTTTTTTTACTTTGTATGCATAGGACAAGGAGAACATCTACTTATGCATGGAATATATGCCCGGAGGTGACCTTTACTACTGGTTGGAATACTATGATACCTTTACGGAAGAACAAGCTCGGTTCTACCTAGCAGAGACAGTGCTGGCTTTGGAAGCCCTTCACGAGCTCGGCTACATTCATCGTGATCTCAAACCGGACAACATGCTATTGGACGCCCAAGGTCACCTTAAGCTTGCAGATTTCGGTTCCTGCGTTCGGCTTGATTCCCAAGGTCGTTACTTCTGCTCTTCACCCATCGGTACCCCTGACTATATTAGTCCTGAAATGCTCAATTGTCAATCCAAAGCGGGTTACATTGGACCAGCTTGTGATTGGTGGGCTCTGGGCGTGATTGCCTTTGAGATGCTCTTTGGTGAAACCGCCTTTTACGGGCAGTCTCTGGTGGAGACATACTCACGCATCCTCGGCTATGAGAAGTCCCTCAAAATTCCCACTGACACTGAGATTACTGCGAATTTCGAGAGTCTCATTCGGGACTTTCTCCGCGGTGCGGACAATCGACTGGGTTCAAAGGAGGGCGCTAGAGAGGTAAAACGACATCCTTTTTTCGAAAGCATTGATTGGCCAAATCTGCACTCGACCACACCACCAATCAGACCCGTTGTCACCTCTGACGTGGATACTTCAAACATCAATTTCGATGAGTCGGAGGTTCTTGGTACTGATGCAAAATTTGGTTGTGACTCATCAAACTCCTCAAGCGGTTCACCTGCGAATCTGCCACGTAATCTTGGCGCCTTTGCAGCGAAGAAACCGGTCGGACCACCAGCCTACTTTACTGGAGATAACTTAGCATTCGCTGGCTTTACGTTCAATCGAGAGGAGAGGCAGAGACTCGAATCTTCAGCAAAAGCTGCGATGATCGCTAACGGAGATGCACAAACTGCTGAGATGGAGGCCTCACTGGCTGATGCTCGTGCCCAACTCAGCGCAGCTGAGAAGCAGGCAGCAGTGGACAAGATTGCTATGAATGAGGCGCAAAGACGTCTGGATGATACAAAAGCTGAGTTGGAGTCTTTGAAGACTGAAATTGAACGAATGGGTGAAGAAACGAGAACGCAAGTTAGCGTCATCCAATCCGAGCGTGACACTCTCTGTGAAAGAGCGAATCGTCTTCAGACAGAACTGATGAGCGCTACAGAGGAATTGGAATTGGAGAGAAAAGCTCTGGCTGCAGCGAAAGAGGAGCTGGCCTCTGTGAAAGCAATTCCCCCTCCGTCGGTTGTGAATGAGATGAAGCAGCGCAGTTCAACCAAGGAGAACCTCTCTCTAGAGGTAGATTTGGAAGAGGCGCGACAACAGGCATGTAGGGCTGAAGCAGAACTAGTTAACACACGACGACTGCATGCTGAGGAGATGGGCGATCTATCAGATCAGCTACAGGCAGCCAAAACCTTTTCTCAGCTTTACAAGTCTAAATTGGCGGATGCTGAGGCTGAAGTAGAGTCACTGCGTTCACATCTCACTTCCGTTCAGGCATCATGCAAAGAATTGAAAGAGCGAAACTTCTGTCTGGAGTCAGAACTTGCTGTAAGCAAAGTGGATTTGGATGGACTCAAAAAGAGCTATGATATTGAGATGAAGGAGAATACTACACAGGTTTTGCGCTTAAAGGAGCGTGTCAGCAGTCAGGCAAACGAAATTAATACAGTGACGAGTCAGAGAGAGGATTTGAGGCAGCGCTGCATGACTCTGGAAGATAGTGTATCCAACCTAACAGATCAGTTGCAGGCTTTGCGCAAGGAGAGTACGATCCAGCATGTCATGCTGAAACAAACAGTAACCAAGTTGTTTGAGGTCGCGTCAGAGGCACCGGCAAGCGGTAAAAAGAAGAAGAGCACAGAAGCAGCAAAGGTGAGTAGTCTTGAGAAACAGCTGCGGAATGCAGAGCACAGTCATCAGAAAGAAATAGCGGAGCTACAGTCCACCTTAAACCGCCTAAAAACCGACAACGAGGAGAAGGCTAAGGCAATGGCAGAACTGACGGAGACGAATCGGATGCTTGAGCAAGAGTTGGAGAGAATGGATGCACAACTCAACACGCTGTACGAGTGCTATGTCACCAAATCGGGTACTGGTGGAGATTCCTCCAACAATTCGTCTCCGACAGGCACGGTAGCAGAACCACCTTCACTATGTGGAACGGGTGATATTAGTCATTCAACAGAGAACCTGTCAATCGACGACGACAGACAATTTTTCACCCGTCAAGTTCTACCTCCACCTATCGAAGGTTTCTGCGACTTCCCTGAGAAGATCAAGGGCAGAAAGAAGCTCGCGTGGACCCCCAGATTCGTGGTAATCTGTCCTTTCACGGTGTCATTCTTCCTCTCCAAGCCCCGACGGGATCAACCTGGTGCTATTCCATTTGAAGAAATTCAAATTCAGAAGGTACTGAACTTCTACTTATATTATTTAAGTAAACAGTTGTGGGACCCTGATCCATTTAGCCCAAGACGTTCCCATTTTCCTACATTCGTAAAGCAAGCGACAAGCTAAAAAACCAGTTCACTAGCTTGTACACGCAATTGGGTATCATCGATTTCGCGTGTCTTATCATTTTGTGTTCTTATTTTCCACCTAGATATTTTCTGTGCGGCCCGGAACGGTACTTGATCTTACCTATGCCACTGAAGACGATGTTGCCCGTCTGATTTGCATAATCACAGATGAGATAACTCCAGAATCCGCTGGAACTGACCCTGACCGAATGAGCGTAAGCAGTGCAAGCTTATCCTCAGGCGGAGGCATAAACCTCGCCTCTGGTAACTACATTTCTTGGCAAGGTCATTCATTCCAAGCAATAACGTTCCGCATAACGAATACTATTTGCGAAGTCTGTCGAAGACCATGCTCAGACCTCCGTTCTCCCCCACCAGCGCTTGAGTGCATCCGCTGTAGAATGCGCATCCATCGGAACCACGTAGAGAACCACGAGAAGTTCGTTGTTTGTCCAAATACTGTGAAACAGTGGATTATTCGTGCTCCGTCTCCGGCTGAACGTAATGCATGGGTATCGTGTATTAATCAGCTCAAGAAAGAGGTCAGCCGGCCAATATGCTCGGAGAGTCGACTCCAATCTGGATCGCTTAGCGTTAGCAACCAACCCGGAACACCGCTGTTTGGGGCTAATACGAGTCGCTACAAGAGTATGCGCAATTACGGTGGACTGAATTTCAAAGATGTAGCTTCAAAAAGACCATTTATGGTCACCTTCCCTCGGTACAGCAGCAATTCGGGTCTAACTGGAGGTGTTGCCGCGCGAACTTCCCTCCAGTCACCTCCTGTCTCGGCTTCTCACCACTCGCATGCAAATTTTAACAGCCAGCACGATTTGTAATTTTAGATACTGACGCAAATTTAAATACTCACGCGCGTATTTACCCACAAAACCACTTACAGTAGCGATGACAGCGGCTCGTCTTTCATTCCATCTTCGGCACTGTACAGATTTGCAGCCGAAAAACGAGGTGTACGCCTGCACGCCACTAACAACCCTACTGGCACGCTTAACCCCATGCTTTCTTGCTGCGAAAACAGATTTTAAAAGTTATTTTCGCACTAGGAAATTTGTTCCATGAAGCCTTTGTAATTTGCGCAGAATTACGACTCAGTCGTAGGCTGCACCCACACTTTCCTCCCTCCATTTGCGTTACCAAAATGTTTCAATATCCTTCGATGCTCAGATTATGCGTATAAAGTATTTACCTCCGTTTTTACTTGCGTATAAGTCTGGAAGTGGTGAAAAAGGCTTTAATTTAAGCGATGCAACAAACCGATATTGGTCTCATACTACCAACTTTATCTGGCTAATTACGTTCTCCAGTTGTCCTTTGTCGAATATAGTGATACCACCTCTGGTCACTGACGCCATCTAAAACGAGACCAAGATATCAACTCGTAGCTATGTAACTTTCACAGGAACTTCCATCGACGTGGTTTAGTCTTAATTTGGGATGGCAAAAACACGAAGTGTCTGCTGATTCAAACGTATTGAGGTACGAACAATTAGCGCTGAGAAGGAAGTTTGGTTTACCTCAACGTTGGTTGCATCCAACTTTTCCTCCATGACCTGTCTGAGGATAGTGAGAGCTTGTACACACGCCTCCTCAAGAGTCATGTCCTTATTAAAGACCTCCTGGAGAGCCTGTTGTGCTCCCTCGGAACCAGACCCAATCGCCTTCGCCTCATACTGGATGTAAGTGCCACTGGGATCCATGTGAAATCTGCGTATTAACAAAGTCTTCCAATTTGAATGTTTACGACGGCCACTATGGGTAATCAACGAATGGATTGACGTAAAGCTAACGAGAAATAACAAAGAGCCCGATGGGAGAGCCCAATAACAAAAATGAGTGACTACGAGTAGTTTCACTACCGGGGTGAAGGGGAAAGTGTTTTCAATGAAGTAATGAAAAATAGGGCAACCAATTTAAGGTCGGAATAGACCG